AAAAAAAAAACGATACAAATGAATTATTAACAATAATATTATTCTATATGTCTATTATGAAGGAGGATGCCGATCTAATGTTTATCTCATTCAAAGTAAATATCAATGTTCACCAATATCTTATCACTTGTTTTTTTTATAAATTCATTGAAATATTATTTATTTTTTTWAATTAAATTATAGGACACCAATGCTCTTGATGAATTACAGTCAAACATAAGCTCAACACGACCTGTTGTGACTTGCCTGGGTAAGATTAGTTTTATAAAATAAATTAAAATTATTTCCTCAAGAAAAAATTATCCACACTTAGCAGCCAATATTCCAAATTTGGATATTGTCAGATAATAATATACTATTAGGTACATAATAATTCATAAATAAGTTTGAAACAAGTCATACTATTGAAACTGAAAATTGTATTGTGTTGAATAAGTCTTTATAATCAACGCAATATATTTAATTTAGAATTTTTTCTAAAAAAACCATTCACAGTCAATTTTAAGTACCTATCTGAATATTTTGATGATTCTAATTAATTAAATGGTTAAAGTTCTATCTTTTAATAATAGTAAATAATTTAACAAACTTATAGGTGACAAATGGACAAATCCACAATGTTTTGTGTTTGTGGATAAGCAGTGTTTGTGGGAGCACGAACCATTAACAATTCAAGAAGCTATTCAAATTATGTTTATGTCTTATTATGTGTTTAACATTAATTACCCTAAAGAATTAGCTGGCATACTACAGTTTATCCAAAGGTAATTTTATAAATCACTATATATCTAGAATTTATTATAATTTTTAATCTACTTTACAGTTGTATGTTTGAYATAAATGTCGAAGGAAATAAGGTTAATAGGAGAATTTTTAATGACAAATTTGTACCGAAATTATTAAAATGTATGAAAGAATATAATGACTATGTATTAAAGTGGTCTAATTAATTTTTTTTTTAATAATCATATTTTCACTGTTGTATAAAAGTAATAAACTATTTTTATTTCTAACATTGTTAATTTCTCATTTATAAATAAATAACCCAACTTTTATTCATACCTATATATTATATTATATTATTTATAAGTATAATATTTCTAAATGTTATAATATGTTTTTTTTTTTAAGTATTGTAATACTATAAAATAAATTGTGAATAAGTATTTTATGAAGTGTATTTTTTTTTTTTAGTAGGTAAATGGAAGTATAAATTAAAAAGTAATTCTTGCAATATTGATCTAAATGTCTATTATAATTTTTTTTTTTTAAAGAATTTCAAATTCTATACAATTTTGAAACTATTTTAGTTTAGTAAATGTCATCATGTCCATCATGGTCAAATTTAAATTATCCACCAAGTTCAGTTATTTACAAACTCAAAAACAAATGTTTATAGGTATAAATGTATAATTCACTCTTCAAAATGTATGATTTGTAAGCTTCATAAGTTCTATTATACACATTAGAAATGCATTTATTACCTAACAGACAACAGTTAAAGTATTTTTTAAATTATTTGTTAAATGTACATTTTAAAATATCATCTAGTTGTAGTTATACCTACACCAAAAAGTTCAAAGCTAACTTGGTATTTTGTTCTCTATATATCTAGTGAAGAAATTACAACTTACCAACATATATTTTTGACTTGTTGAGTTTTGTACTTAATAAGTTTAATTTAATTTTTATGTAATTATTCAATTTGTTTAAATTTTTTGAACTTTAGAAGTAAAAAGTTTAAATAATAAGCTAATCTTTGTTTTTTAGACTTACAAAAACGTACACAAACTTAGATCCTTAGTCACAGTGATTTTTTTTAACCCAAATATAGTTATTACTTTATTAGTTATTAATAATAAATTATTATATCATCTGTGATAGTGTTAATAATATTATTATTATCACTATCATTATTACTATTATTATTATCACTATCATTATTACTATTATTATTATCACTATCATTATTACTGTGGTGGCGCCACCGTCACATGATTTCCCCCAGACGACGTGAACACTGTAAGGCGTTGGTCACTCCCTTCCAAACCGTCGATCAGTGTCGCCCCGATTGTCTCCATTCTTCTTTTTGCTACTACGCGTCAGTTAACACGCCCGCGATATACTGCTCTCTCACTGCAACTATAAGTTGTAACGTACATGCCAAGAGTAAAAACCTCGTGACCAACGCTGCTCGCACGCCGTATTAAACGTCACGTTCGCTGTACCTAATTAACCGGCTCTTATAATAATAATTAATAATAAAKTAAATCAGTATTTCTATTCAGTAGTGTTTAGTTTATTCGTTTTCATTCGTCACGCCTGAGTGACGACGTTGGCGGAAGCCGATACGTAACTTCTTTCGTCATCCGCCACATTGGTGACCTCGATATTTGGTACACGCACTTCGCTTACCCGTTCGTTCGATCAGTTCGTCGCGAGTGCATCATGGACGACGCATCCGAGAAGGTGCAAGGCGGAGCCGAAAACCGCAACGGAAGTCCCACACCGCCCCTARCCACCGTGACCGCTGTACCGCCCGACGTAGCTGCCGTCGCTCGCCTCTCAGCCTTCTGGAAGTACGCGCCCGATCACTGGTTCATCCATGCCGAAGCAACCTTCACGTGCCAGAGCATCTCAAAAAACAACTCACGAGTTAACTACGTTTCGACCGCGCTCGATGAAGAGGGCATCCGCTCTGTCACCGACTTACTCGGGCCCTCAGCCACGTACGACGGAATCCGTCGCCGCCTCATAGATGTTTTTGGTGTTCCCCGATCCACGCGTTTCCGTGAAATTGTTCTCCCGGGAGGCATAGGTGACTGCCGACCCTCTCAAATGCTCAGAGATATGCGCAACGCCGTCCCGGACGATCTCGGGGAAGGTGCGCTCGAAGAATTTTGGCTGCAGAAACTGCCCACCAACGGGCTGGCAATAATATCGAGCATCGACAAACCCGTGGACGCCCTCGCGAGTCATGGAGGTCTGCATCTCGCAGCGAGTGGACGCTGTTTCCGTTCCCGATGACCGTCTCGCTGATCTCGCGAACGCCGTACGCTCACTAACGCAGCATCTCCCGAGCGAAAGCAACGCACGTTCGGACAACACACCACGGCAGTACCCGCACTCGCGTCGCGCCACGTATAGGAACTCGGAAATGTGTTTCTATCACACTAACTTCGGAAGTAAGGCAAAGAAATGTCAACAACTCTGCAACTTCGA